AATGCGGCGCCGAACGCCGCGCCCATGACCGACCCGACGGCGCCGAGCGTCGGCGCGGCCGTGTCGCGGACGAAGGGGACGAGCGCGTCGTCGACCCACTGCTCCGCCGACTCGGCGAGATCCTCCTTCCTGAGCTCGTAGTCGTAGGCGTCCCGGGTTTTCGCCGTTTTCAAAGTCGCGTAGGCCTCGTTGATGGCGTCGAATTTGGCGCGGCTCGCCTCGGACGGGTCGACGTCGGGGTGGCACGTCTTGCTCATCGTCCTATAGCTGCTGCGGATCTGCGCGTCCGTGGCGTCCCGGCGCAGGCCCAGCGCGTCGTAGTGCGTCTCGCGGCGGGAGGGCGGCGCGGGCGCCTCCGCGGACGCCTCCGCGGGCGCCGTCGCGTTGACGACCTCCGCGGCGACCGTCGTCGACAGGAGAATGCGCCCGCGCCGCGAGGGCGGGAACGACAGCGTTGTTCGTCGGCGCGCGCTGTTCGCCGCGAGGGTCGAGTAGCGCGTGATCTGCCGCGTCGGGGGCGCGAAGGTCGTTACGTACGAGCATAGGGCGAGAGCCAAGAACGTCCCCCAGCCGCGAGCCATGCTCCTCCCCCCTCTGCGAGCCATGCTCCTCCCAAGCTTCTCGCGCGCGGTAACGTCACCTCATGAGGCCTCATCCTCCTTGACGATCTTTCGAGTATCGCCCCGCGGCCGGTCGACCGCGCGCGTCGACGCACCTCGACGCCGCCTTTGCCACGCGACATTGGCCGACGTCGTCGTCATCGTCGCCGTGCGCTTCGGGCAAGTCGCAGCGGCGTGCAAAGGGGAGCCTGCGCGCGCGCGGCAAAGTGGAGTCGAGTCGTCCATCACAAAAAACAACTTGGAAGTGTGCAGGCTGGCAAAAGAGAGGTCACGGCTGCCGAAAGCAAAAAAAAGACACCTCACGTGGGGCTCGAACCCACGACCACACGATTAAGAGTCGTGCGCTCTACCGACTGAGCTAGCAAGGCGCGCACCTACCCCGCCACCACCGGCGCGAGGCCGCGTCTGGCGGTCCTCGTCCGATGTTGCGAGATGGGAGGCGAACCCCCAACCACGGCGAAGCCGCACCCGGGAGTTTCTCGTTTGAGTTGCAAGAAATCCGGCGGAGTTGGCATCTGCCGGCCTCGCTGTCGCATGCGCACGACGACAGGACGCCGAGCTAACACAATTATACACACCACAATGGTCCCCGGGCCGGCCCCTACGGAAGGCGCGAATCCAAGAACGACGCCGGAGACGAAAGGACGCACCACGCTCCGGGGCCGCCCGGCGGGTCTTGAGCGTCGAACGCGAAGACGACCGCTGGTCGTCGTCATCACTCTCTTTCTCTCGGGGGAAAAAACGGGACGAGGCGGGGATAAATCGAAGGCGGGCTGCGAAGGGGGGCGGGGGAACGGGGGGCGCCGAGCGCGAAAAAACGCGTCAGCGGATGGAGAGGCCGTCGCCGACGGACGACAGGTGGAGCTCGCGCATGGCGCCGCGGCCGCCCTTGCGCGCGCCCGAGTTCGGCGAGCCGCCGAAGATGGACCAAAACCGCAGCGTCTCGTCCGCGGCGGCCGAGACGACGGTCTCGCCGTCGGGCGACTGCGCGAGGTGCAGCACGCGCGCGGTGTGGCCCGTGAGCTCGCAGAGCTTGGTCATGGACGGGTAGCGCCAGAGGCAGAGCTGGTTCTGGGAGAAGCCGTGCGAGGACACGATCTCCTTGTGGTGCCGGCTCCAGAGCAGCGCGCAGACCTGGCTGCCCGTGTCCACGG